AAAACAGAAGGTGATAAAAAATAGTAAAGAACAAGGCAGTATTATTATTCCTGGATTACCTGCACAATGTATTCCAGATTTGTTGCTCGAGCCAAGAGAAAGGAGATTTGGAACCGACTTCTAAGCAATTTTTCTTAACTTGCAACAACATCAGTAACTCCATGTGGTCAACTTGGTTTTTCAACTTCAAAGTGTTTATGGTCAACATGAACGACAACAATAATTTGTCCTGAAAATAAAAAACTCTTCCGATCAGGAAATTCTACAACTTATTCAGGATTTACCTTAACAAACAAACTTCTGCAGACAGCCCTATAAATATCCAGAGTAAAGGCTTCAATAAGTCCATTCATCCTGGTGTTGATATCATCTTCCTTTTCGACATTCTGGACGATATCTTTGAATTTGCGCAAAAACCACTCAATGGTATGCTGGTAGACATACTCAATACGAGATAAATCCTCTAAAAAAACAACACATATGTGTTATATCTCTACACATATATATATATATCTCTATTTATTTATATTTCATGTTCTGCTTACCAATGGTCATGTAGACTGTGCTGATATATTCAGCGAGTCTCATATAATTCATCCTGGATTCCTTCAATTCATCCAAAGCAGCTTCTGCAGTTTTATGTTTCGATACCAGTTCGTTTACTGATAATTTAGAAGTGACCAATGTTTGGATTTTGGCTTCTTCTTCCAGCAGATTGTCTTCGGAAGACAGGACTGTCAGGGCTTGTTGTTCTAGATCGTACAAATTCCTAGAAAAATAGAAGTAATAATAATAATAATCATAATAATAATAGAAGTAATAATAATAATAATCATCATCAAAATATAACATTTCCTTCAAGAAGAAATTAATAGAAGAAAACCAAAAATTTAGTGAGAAAATTCATCTCTTACTTTTTATTATCAGCCTGTTGTATATGATATTGCTCCCATTCCAGTTGTTCATCAGGTTTATCAATTCCCAAAACAATATCCAAGATTTTTGTTTCCAGACCACAGTATGTCATGGTGAAGTTGATAATTGTAGTTTTGGACATCACATACAAATCCAGACGTGGATTACTCAAACCAGTTGCTAAATATAACCTACAAAACAACATCCATCAGATACTTGGTGTTTTGATGATATGAATAATCTGCCTTACTTAAAGTCGTTGTTATAATCCACTAAAGTTTCTCCAAGTTTAAGACACCGACTACCAGATTGTTTGAACGTTTGTTTGCCCAGCAGAGGATCTAATATAGGATCCAGGTCGTTGCCTAAATTTTCCAGCAAAATCTACAAAACCAAGACACATTTTAGTGTGCTAATAATCTGGCATAAATTTTATATTACCCCTTTACCGGTTGTCCAAACTGTATACTATTCTCCAAAATCCTAACATAATCCCCTTGAGTCTGCCTGACAATACTCAAATGTCTAGCCTTTTCCAAGTTCCTGATCCACTTATTAGCCTCACCTTGTGGATCCACAGCCAAAGGCCAGCGTTCACAATTTGTGGTAATCAAAGCATTTTCAATCACAAATTCATCAGAATTCAAACCAGACGCCAACCAAGATCTGATAAGTATTTCATCACCGATTGCAGAACGCAGTGTGTAATCTTTGTTGCATTGAATGTTGAGACTTGTGCAAATATCTAACCATTGTTGGATACTTGAGGATCTTAAGTCTTTGGTAAGAGGACCTAGGTATGCTAGGAATGCTGATGATAGAAGAGTGTCACCTGAAATAATAGAAAACTATAAGTAACATCTTGTTTTTGGGTTGTGGTTTTAGATGTACCTATGAGTGTTGTGGTTTTCTGGTCCAAATTAGATGCTTCCAGTAGCATTTTATCTTTATCATCACCATAGCCTTCTAGAAGTTCTTCAGCACGTTCTAATTTTTTCTGACAAAGTTCTGCCTCAGAACTCAAAGCCGTGTGGTGCTCTCTATGACTATCCAACTCCTTCATCAATTTTGCTAACTAAAAACAAACTTGATCAATAAAAATTAACGGTGCATAGTTTTCAAAAGCCATACATTATCTTGGACTTCTTGTAGTTCATTCCTTTTAGCTTCTAAATTGGCTACAAGTGTTGCGTCTTCACTTTCACAACTCATCAGCTCTTGTTTGGTTGGAGCAATTTTTTGCGCAACTACATCATACCTATAACAGATACAATAGCAAACTACTCACGATCTAAATTTCTATATTTTACCTACTTTGTTAGTGCAGTGATCCATTTGCAGAAACTTTCACCAACAACAGAAATAGCTTTAACTTTTTCAGGATCAAATTCCTCGTGTTCAATTTTTTCCTGCAGCTTGCTCATGATGTTTTGTGGCATATCGTCTTTGTCGAATTGCAGAAGAGTTTCCAGGAATTTGGGATCGGAAAACATTTTTTTGGATGGTGCCCAGTAATCGTCTATCAAACCTGGACCTGTTGGGTTTTGGATCTTTTCAGACTTCACCTCCTGAAAGAAGATACAAAAAAGATATAGATATATTTATATATATGGTAACATTTGTACAAGGTTACCTTAAGTAGGCATAAGGCTTCTGCAACAAGTTTAATACATTTTGGAGGATTTTTTACGGTTTTCAATGATATTATATCGGGATTGGTCATGGCAGTTAAAAGTCCGGTAGCTTCTTCCAATGCAGGTACAACCGTTGACAATTCTTTGTCGCAAGTTTGTCTTAGACGTTGTGTTGCTTCCAGCTGAAGCAAAAAAAACATAAAATTTTGAAGTCATCAAAATCAGTTGTTCAGAAAGTTTACCTTTTTGTTTACTGCTGATTGTTGTTTCATCACACTTTGTTCCAATTCAGTAGCAGTTAAAGTTTCTTTATCAACCTGGATCAAAAAATTCAAGTTAGCTTTAAATTAATTATACTGATATGATTACTGGTCAATTTACCTTCGCCAATATATCTTGTACTTGTCCAGACGCCACAGAAACTTGCGGTTTAAGAGCTTCAATTTTTTCCTGCATGATTCCAATTTGCAGTTTTGTGTTCTCCAATTGTTTAGCTGCAGCAATATGTCGCTCTTTTTGTTTCTTTAACATCCTGCCAGAAAAATACAAACACTGGTTACAAAATCCATAACGCACTTTAATTTTATTTACCCCTTACTTCTTGTTTTTTGTCAAGATAGCAGAAAACCTGGTCAACATCTCCAAGTACGAAGCAGGCCCTGGATAAGCGCAGAACCTGACATCATTCCTCAAACAAAATTCCTTAGACAATTTTTGAGAAATGTTATGAAACCTCACAAAAGCGTTCACCACATCCTCCTGTTTCAGGTTGGCAAAGGTATCGTCCAATTCAGGATTCGAATTTGCCTGTTCCAGATGTTTTGTTGCAACTTCCAAAAATGCTGATTGAGGCCAGGGCTGGAAAAGGAACAGTAATAATATTTGTGCAATATTTACTTAAGCAGAATGTTTTACCTGGTACCAGTTTATGGTACAATTGTCAATTATTTCAGGACATGTTCTGGCTAATTTTTGGAATTGTTGCTTTGCTGGTGAGATAGTCAGGATTATGTGGAGTTGCTCACGAATCTGAAAAAAAGAAAAATTGAGAATATGTACATATATATCTAAAATATATATATATATATATATATATATATATATATATATGTATGTACAGTTATTTTTACCTGGGAAAGAAACAATTCGTATAAACTAGGTACAGATCCATCAGTCTGTGCTGATTTGTCTCTTTGGGCATCTAAAGCTCGCATTTCTCCACAGCGTCTGCTCGTTCATCTGCAGAAAGCAATCCTGATACTTCGCCATGACGAAGTAAAGAAATGGTGTCACCAGGTGGCATTTTTCTTCCAACTAAGAAAAGAAAATATGAGTCACAACACAGGTAAGACAAAATAATAAAAAATATAAATATTCAGTATCAAAACTCATTTTTATTATTACCTGGTTATCAGACAGCATAAAAACACAATGCTTCTCAGCCACACTGACTTTCTGCATGATTTTTTTAACATCCTGCTTCCAATCTTCTACTGAGTACTTCTTCAGCATCTCAATCTTAAAATTAAACGAAATTATTGAACCAACACCTACTAATTTTTATAATAGCCCAGACAGACTCACTTGTATCATTTCAAAATCGTTGATATGAGCTGCAAGTCTAGCCAGAGATCTTTTACCACTTCCAGGTGTACCCACCAGGAGCGAATGTCCTCTGGATTGTTTCAAACACGACAGATCCGTGATAGATGTTCAATGTTATATCTAAAACAACATATTGATAAATCATAGTGATGACACCTAATGTATCTGTTATTACCTGCATAGTACCATGGTCATTGGTCGTTTGGACATGTTATTGCACTCAATTAGATATCCTTCGACGACGTCCAGCAAGGCGTCCATGCTGGTCACCTCTTTGTAAAATCTGACATCAGCTAAAGGTTTTGTAAAGTCACAAAAAACTAAGGAATCCAGTTCAGCTCCAATCTAAATTATTATTAATTAAATTAATAGAACAAATTTAACTGTATCCATTCCTACTTACCTCTTCCTCGGTGGTAGAGTCTGCAAATATTTTATCCAACGTTTCATGCAACTCCTGCTGCACCACATCGACTAATTGTTTATAAAACCATTGTTTATCATCCAAGTTAGTCATTCTGTCACCATATACTCGTACCACCTCATGCACCCAATGCCTTTTAATAGCAGAAAGTCCTTCAGTGCTTTCAGGAACCGACAAAAGGACCCCCTGGATAAATAAATATAAATATTGAATAGATTATTGATGTAAATATGCTCCAAGTTAGATTATAGTGTGCCATGCTTTTGGCAATATAGAAACAAAAGAATGTATAAAAAATATTATCTTAGATCGATGTCTAATAAATCATCGTAAAATAGTAAATTATTGAGTTTTAATTAAATATACTTTAGTTATTTATGGAATGCGCTCCAGTACCTGTATAACTCTGCAATAATCTCTTAAGTTAAACTTGTATTGTAGGTTGCAAGGTGTTGGTAAAAGTTTATTTTTGGTTGCATTGTATACTGCTAAAGTTGCGCCTACCAGTTCAGAAATACAAGGATCAAATTCTTTAGAAAATCCCCTGAAATTCAAAAAAGTTGCTGAATATGTAGTCGTTTTCAAATTAGATTTGGTACCTTGTATCCAGGTGCCAAAGTACAATCTTGCTATAAATAGTCGTAATGATGTTATCCCTAAAAGCTTCTAAAGAAATCACTGTAAAAAGTCCTGTAAATCGTGAATCAGTTTCCCAACGGCTTCTTGTAATTGTTGCAGCACCTAATAATTGCACATCCTAAAAAAAACAACAGAAATTTCCAGCAATTTGCCTTAAGGCACGATGCCATACACCACTAGTTATAAATCAAATATTACCTGTATCAAAATATCGGATCCAGTCTTCAAATCCTTCCACGTACCATTATTCAACCAACCCCTTAAAATTTCTAAAGCTGATCCAGGATCATCTGGTGTCGATTCTTGGTCTTGTTTGACAGCCAAATGCATATCATCAGCAAAAACCAGTAAACGTTTACCCAAAGGTGGACCATAAATTCCTGCCGAGTAGAAAACCAATATTGAATCAGGGACAAAAATTGGGGATGTATAATTATATACCCTTTCGTCTTTTATCTATACGCGACATTATGAATTCTTGGGCGTCAGCAGCGTTTGTGCTGGATGAAAAATTTAAACCAGATGGTACGTTTGTGGTGGTATCAATTTTTTTCATCAAGTAGTTCTGGAAAAAAACATTGGCACATATAATATTTAGTTGATACAATTGTTTTACAAAGCTTGTACCGCTATACATGATGTTTTTCCAGTTGCTGTCGGTCCAACACACAAAACAGGCTTCTTATTCGGCACCAGCAAAGATAGCAACCAAGACAACTTCATGGTTTCAGTCGTTGGTACAATAATTTGGCTAACAGGGATGTCTCTGGGTATAACTGCTGGATTACTTGCTAAATCATCAGACCAGGGACGCCATTTACCTTTCCCCTTAGTAAAAAAAATACAATCGTATTTCAGATTCAATCGAATTTAAATTTTACCCAAAATGATGTTTACCTCTTTGATATATTTGAAGTCAAATACGCTGTTTCCATCTTTGGGCATGATGTATATATAAGGTTTTGCTGGTGATGCACACAAGTCTTCAGGAAGTTTTAGGAGTTCTTTGACGTCAGCAGGAAATTCTTTGTCAAGTAAGGCTCTGAAGAGAACGCTGAATTTGGATTTGCTGGACTCGTCCAGAGCGCCTCCGAATGACCAGATGCAGGAGAAAAAGAAAGAACCCTAAGGAAAAAATAGAAATTGCTGATGTAAAGGAGTACAAATAATGAGCAAAAAAAATATTGGTTGGGATAATTTGTTCTGCAAAAATTTTAGATAAAAGTTGTCAAAAACGTGTCTTTTTTTTCAAGAAAAACACACTTAAACAGATGATTGAAGAAAGCGAAAGTGAATAAAGATGACCCAAAAAAATGGATCTATAATTAACTTCCCGTAGGGCAAGTTATAGTAATCGCAAAAAAATCGAAAATGAAAATTTTTATATATCTTTACGTTTCAAAAGTTTCTGAGAATTTTGGCATACCTTAGAAAAAATGGATGTATGTGTGTGTGTGTGTGTGTATGTATGTGCGGATACAAATTTTCGTCGACGATTTCGGGAACACGAATCAACCGATTTGAATAATTTAAAAAACATTCGATGCGTATTGATAAGAAGACGTGCTGATTAGTTTTTTGGCAAAGGTAGGTCTAGCCGTTCCAAAGATGCGGGGCAAAAAGTGCCGAAAACGGGAACTCAGTTTTTAAGAGAACGGAGCGTCCGATTTGAATAACTCAAAAAACATTTTATTTGTATTGACTAAATGAAGAACTGTTCAAAATTTTGGAAAGGCAGGTCCAACGACTTTGGATATATGGAGGAAAAAGTAAAAAAATGAGCCATTTGGCGGTCAAAAATGAACATTAGACATATGCACATCAAATTATCAGATATTTTATAGAGATTTTAACAATAAGTATAAATTTTGTTTACATTCCCATGGGTTCCGTACCAATGTTTACGCGTTAGACGGCGATGCGGCGCTTACGCGCTTTGATATTTCGTCTTTATGCAGTGAAAGCAGTACGGTTGCTTTGAAAAAACCTTCAGAATTTCCAAAATATGTCAAAATGAAGAAAACATTTTTCTTTTCAAAAAAAAATTTGTTTTCAAAAAAGTATAATTATAATTTTTTGTCAAATTTATAGTTTCTCAAAAATCTAATTTTTTCGAAGTAAAATTTTTTCAAAAATGTTAATTGTTTTTACGGTACGGGAAGTTGTAGCAATTTGCCTTAAGGCACGATGCCTTAATTGCCTTAAGACAGAATTCCACTTACAACTACTTATTTATCTACTTACTTCTAATTGAGCTCTGATATCCAAATCCTGCAGCGTTTCCAAATACTTCTCATTATTAAAATCATTCATAAAGCAATCAAATATACTCATCAGCGACTTCACCAAATTTATAATAGTGCTGGTTACAGTTTGCTGCAAAAACAACAATTAGAACTTCTACAAACCATTTACGGTCATCTAATTATGATTACCTTAAGCCCTCCATTTCTTATATACCAAATCAATGGATTGATAAATCTTTTCAGCAAACCCATAATGGTATCTTTGTGTGGTCCAGAAATTATACGACTTGGCAAAGTGCTCATCCAGGTTGGCACCAGGTCTTCCCAGTTGATGAACTGATCGTCGAGGTAAACTATACTGCACCTTGAGATCTGGATAAAATAATAGAAGGTAGAAAAATTCAGAATTTTAAAGAAGTCAGTAGAAATTTATTCTTGATTTACGTGTATTTGAAACTTTGAGAATTTTTGGGAGATTATCATTTAAAGAACTTGTTGATATAAAAAAAAAATTGATTGTTTAGAAGATTTTTGGAAATGGTGAACAAACTTGTTAATCCAAAAAGCCTTGTCAATCCAAACTATACTACTGATCTGAACACAAACAATAAATTCATTGATATTTATTAAATTTATCCTTTATCACACCAGACCAGAAATTCTTTTTCACCACAATATGCCATCCTCAAATCTATAAATCCATTTAACTTTTCCCCAACTTACTGTTACTGGTGTCGCCAGATCCAGGTCAACAGTTTCGAAGATCAGGTTTGTCAGGGGCGGCAAAGGAACAATCTCGCCGGACATCAGGCATAATTTTTTGTTGTCGTCCAGGACAGTATTCAGATTTTCTACCCATATGGAGTCCATGGTGCCGTCGAAAATTATCCATTTTCTGTAAACAAAAAAAAAGGAAAAAGATTGAGGTTTCTCGTTGCATGGTAGACATGTTGCTATGAGGTATATTTTATGTTTTATGCGGTTTAGGTGTATACCAAGTTGTTGTAGAGACTTATGATGTTAGAAAAATTTGTAGATTATTCATTTTTGTACAAATTTGTCAAAGGCAGCATTTATATTAATCGAATGGTTTGCAAGTTATTGAGAATATACAAAAATGATGCACTTTATTTAAAAATTGTTCCTAAATACTTTTCATTTTTCAGATATTATTGTAAAGCACTGTTTAAATTTATTTATTACCTGTTTCCATTTTTGCCATTTGCAAATAATTTATAATTTATCGAAAGGATTCCATCGCGCCATTCTCGTGCCGAATCGAATTCTCCAAATAATTCCGCAATTGTTACTGCTTTTGGATGAATAATAACTTTTGATACTTTGTATTCATTTAAATTACCCTGGAAAATTAAAAAAAAATATAAATTTATACAATAGCAAAAAATTAAGAATAAAAAAATCTTAAAATAAAAAAAATATATATTATAATTCATTGATAATACTTACATTTTTATTAAGGAAACCCAAAGTTTCTGCAAGTAAATTGCAAATTGTAGTTTTTCCTGACATCGGTGATCCTAAAACAATTAGGCCATGACGAGAACGTATAGTGTCGTACAATTGTCTCACCTAAAAAATTAGAAAAAAAAATATAAATATATTTCATGAAAAAATATTATATTTTTATTACGTTTACAAATATTTTATGAAACATTCAATGTTTTATTTAATAATTTACAATTTACAACAAACAAATAGTAGATGACTCGTATTTAATATTTTCTCAATAATCAATTTAATATTTTTTACCAACCTTCGATAAAAGTTTGTGTCCAAATCGTAATTTCGAATTTTCACAACAAATTTTAACGGCTTCATCAAAAACATCAACAATTTCTTCATGTTGAATATCAATTGATGAAAATGTATCTTTTAGAAGATTCTGAAAGCATAATAAAAACATGAAATAATTATAAACACAAAAAAAAAATAATCCCGTAAATAATAATTTAGTTTTTTTTATTTCCCTTACCTCAAAAATATTAATGTCCTGTTGATGCAATTTTGGATAATTAACAATTTTTAAACTCTGCACAATGATGTTTTCAGGATCTTCCTTGGAACCATTCTGGAGAGTCTCACCAGTCAGTCGTAGAACTGCTTTTAAATTTCTAAGACCTAAAAAGAAAGACACATAAGTAAAAATATATTTGTGTGTGTGACAAAATGTTACCAAAATCGTATTGGTTCTGTGTCGGCACCAGATCGTCCAGTAATTTGTAAAAGAGCACCAGTTTTGTACAAAGTTCTTTGGCTTTTAAGCAACCGTAGGTGTACAGTTCTATTTCAGTAATTATGCTGTAGTCTGCTACGTTCATCGAAATCGGTCTAAACAGTGCCTAAAAAAGAAAAAATATATACAAATTTGATGCATGATCAGCAACTCCAACTCGTCCATCTAGTTTTATCCGAGTCCTTTCCTCTAACCTTGATGTTGTCAGGAAGACTGCATCGTCCTCTATAAACATCAGGAGGCAAAGACGTAACAAAAACATGACAATCAGCACTACATCTCAATTGAGTTCCATCCAGAGTGACAGTGTCCTGACCAGCCCTTATGGCTCTCAAAACCGCTTGAAGATAATGTGCAGCTGCTGACAAAACGCCTTGAGATAGACGAGAAAACTCATCGAAACAACACCAGGCACCACAGGAGGCCATACCCTAAAAAATAAATAACAAATGATGTTGGATTTAGTAGAATTATTGGATTTGAAGGCTGCACCTTTAAGAACTTCACCAAAGCAGCATAATCCAGTCTGTCTGAGCAATTGAAAACAATGCAGTACCTGAAACAATTACAGCAATAACAAATATGTTCATTGAATTTTTTTTAAATGTGGTTTATTACCTTGCAAGAGCCTTAGCAAGATCTTTGGCAGTCTCAGTTTTACCAGTAGCTGCAGGTCCTTCGGGTGCTGAACCAGTTACATGATGGATTGCTCCAAAAACTGCACGTTGGTACCTAAAGTATATCATTATAACCACCACTTGGTTTTGTTGTTTTCGATACTTACCTGACTGTCAGGGGTGTGATGACAAGACGTCCACAATTTCCCAAATATTCATAACCATAGTCCACAGAGTAGTGGAATAATTGTATAGAGATTAAGGAATCTTGCTAAAAATTAAAAAAAGTTGATGAGAAGGTTTATTATTTGTGTATACACCTTACATTCATATAATATCTCATCTGGCTCAGCCACTTGAAGTCTTTCGGTGAACAAATTGCAGAATCAATAAAATCTTGAGAGATGTCTCTGTTGTTTATCAAAAGTTTCAACATGGCACCTGTTTCGATAAAATCACTTAGTAATAAATTTACAAATAAATAAATATTTATTCCAAAATCTTACGCAAAATCAGTCTATTTTTTAAACTCAATTCCCCACGCAAAAGTTCAATAAGTTTCTCCGTGTTTCTGGTACACTTCTCTTGGATTCCTTTGGTCCGAATATCTTGACCAACATCCAAACACTGCTGCACATCGTTTGTCCAATTAATCAAAGTCACCACTTGTAACTAGAAATAAAACTTCAGTAAAATGGATACAAAAATTTATTCCATTCCACTTACAGCTTGTCCAGATCCAAGTTCCAACTTTTCATCCCACGTCTGGTCTTCGCCATCAGACAGATTCTGTAAAACCTGTACAATATTTTGGCTGACCGATTCTTTCAGCACTTTTTCCAACTCAAACAACCACTTTTCAACCTGTCCCTTGGCCAGGATTGTAGAAATGGGTTTGCATAATTTTAGGACTTCAGCATCGTGGGATTTGGTTTCAGTGATGTCCATTTCTTGGGTGAACTCCAGGGAGGAAACTGCTTCAAAGCATTTTCTGAGATGGGGCTGAACCCTAAAAGAAAGATAATAGACATACAATTATAAACTTATCCTTAATAAATTCTTAATTGGATACCTACTTTTTAGGATTCTTTGTTTCTGATATGATGTCCAATAGTTCATCATTGGCAAGGAAGAAAAACCTGCAAAAAAATGCAATTTATATATTTTAAATCCTGATAAAAATCAATTAGTCGGTCTAAACAAATCCATGCAATGATTCTCTCAACTTACCTTGGAAAGAACAGCCTCTTCTTCTCCAAATAATCAATCAAACCTCTCCTGGTAGTATCCAATAAACTGTTGCACTTCTTCAAACGTTCCAACAACTTATCAATTTCGACAACAACTAGAACTTTTGTATTTTCTCGAACTGTTCTCATGATATCACGCCAAATCTATAAAAAAATCAATAAACTAGTTGGTCTGGTACTTAGCCTTGAGGCAAGTTACATGGACTTCCCGATATGTGTAAATAATCGACTTAATCAAAAAAAAAGTGTAAATAATATACTTCATCAATCCTACTTTAAAAAAAACGATAATAATTTTAGCAAAGTTTGACGAATTTTTAAAATTAAACTACTTGTCGTAAGGCTGTAATATTACAGTAAGTTCTATAAGACCATGATGTATATCGCCAAAAAAGTTCCATGAAAATCGGCTTAATTTTTTTTTTCAACAGTTCATTACAAGAAAACGGCTCGGTGGATTTTCACCTAAAATTAATCAGTGCAATTCCCAACTAATATCTTTCGAACAGTTTTTTTTTTTTAAATCGGTTCTGTAGGATGAGCTTAAATGTGGACGAAAAGTTTAACACTTTTTTTTCAAATTGCAAAGAAACGGCTTGGCAGATCGTTGCACAAAACTGACAAACAATAGTCCTCACCGAAATACATCAAATGGCTTTTAAATTTCTAAAATCGGTTCAGGCGTTTTTGAGAAAACGTCGATAAAAAAAAACAAAAAAACGATACCAATTTTTGCAAACTTTGACGAATGTTTAAAGTTAAACGAGTTGTCGTAGGGCCGTAATATTTTAGTATGATCTATAAGAATATGGTATCTATCATCAAAAAACTATTGATAAAAAACGTAGTAAATTTTTTTTTAACTCTTCATTGCAAGAAAACGGCCCGGCCGATCTTTACCAAAAACTAATCAGCACGATTCCCAACCAATATCTTTCGAACGGTTTTTGAATTTTCAAAATCGATTCAGAATTGCGGGCTAAAACGTAGACGAAAATTTTTTCACCTTTTTGCGATTTATAAAGAAACGGCTTGGCCGATCGTTGCACAAAATTGACAAACAATAGTCCTCATCGAGATACATCGAGTGGCTTTTAAATTTTTGAAACCAGTCCAGCCATTTTCGAGAAAACGTCGATTTACGTCAAAAAATCTGTTCACATACACGCACACACACACACACACACACATACTTTTTCCAAATTCGGTCTCATTCGATTCAGAATGGCTTGAAACGTCGAGAAAACATAAAATTAGCAATTCGGATTTTTTGATGAAAACATAAACTTCTCCTTCGGGAAGTTAAAAATAACTGCAAATACAGGAGATTTATTTGCACTAACCTTATCCACTGCACTAAATCTCCTGCCTTCCTCAGGCATCTGCTGCTGAATATCAGGTGATGCAAAAATAGGCTCAAAATTAATCCAGGTCGACTGAACTTTAAGCCATTCGTCCAAAACTTCTTGGAGCAATATCAGCTTCTGCTCCCATTGACTGCAGGATATCAAAAATATATAAGTGACACCAAAAACGTATAAAAATTTTATTATTACTAACTTGATAATGCTTTCAAACGGTTTTATATAAGGTGATGACTTCATGGTTTGAGTTTTGACGATGTGGTCATCAAGAAGAACTTGAATTTCATCGATTGATGACAGAATAAAAGTACCAGTATCACTGTAAAGGACACAGATTAGTATTGTTGTTTTAAGCGTGATGTGTTTGGTTTGGTACCTGTAAGGTTCTATTTTAAATTTGACATCACTCCATTCGGACATCATAGTGTTTAAGGCTTCTTCCAAATCGTTTTCTTTGGTGGCATATTCTGACACCAGGACGAATCTGTCCACAAAATCGTCGAAACTGAAAAATAGAAGGTGAAGAAGAAAATACAAATTAATATTCAAAATCTATACACGGTTAACATATTTAATAAAATGACACCAAAACCAAGTAGATGTAGACAATTTTGGTAAATTTGTTAAAGTTTATACCAAAAACTAGAATTAGATTACCAGACAGTTTGATCAGCTTAATAATAGATGCCAATGAATATAGAAAATATAAAACGTTGAACAAAAATTAGCAGTAGATACATTTTTGAAAAACTTCTGCTATTAAAATAAACTCTGGAAAAGAATTTAAACCCATTGGTTGAGAATGAATATACATATTGATAAATTTCGCCAGCAAATAATTTTTGGAAAATTACTTTGGTAAATTAAATGTTCTTTACCCATAATCTATGACTTTCTCCAAAGTCAATTCTCCTTCAGCAGCTTTGATAGGAAAGCCAACAATTTCTCCAACTTGTTCCCAATGTCTCGGCTTCATGCCCTGGTTGCCCAAAGTTTGGACTATTGGCATGTGGTCTCGGAATTCGGAAATTCGCTGACGAATCTGGTAATAATAAATAACACATTTCTTATTAGGTGGTTATAAAAATCTTCAACAATTAGACATGAACCAAAAATAAATATCTTGTAAAAACAAGGGTAAGGAATTATGACTATACGACTATACTAATAAAATTATTAAAACCTTTAGTTACAAAGATTTGGCATACGATTTTATGAATCTACTATTCTAAATAATAATCACCAATAAATCTCAAACAGAAAACTTAAATTATGGAGCTGTAAAACTATGTAGTAGCCAATTTAATTCCAGTTGTTGCAATAATTAAACATTATCATTTATCCCTTACCTCAGCTGCTAAATCCTTAGTAACAGGATGCTTCCCAGCAAAGTTCTCTTCCAAAGCCATAACAGTCTTAAAATAACCCTCAACTTCCGTCTGAATCTCCTCCGGTGGAAACACACCAATCTAAAACCCCAACAATTATTTATTAAAACTTCGACAAAACTGAGTTTTATCCACCAAACCTACCTTGGCCTTCATCCAATGATCGTATTTATCCAAAAAATCTCCACAGTTATCATAAAGATTCTTAAACGGCCTCAACCTTTCGTGAATCTCTTGCTGAAGTGGATAACTGGACAACTCGTACCCGAAGGATGTCTCTTCGGTGTTGAACTGCTTTATGGTCTCCATTGCTAAAATCAACCTAGGAAATAAGACTTATTAATTCTAGATTTAAGATGGAGGTAAGAGTGATTTTAGACCTTTGGTCCAATGTTGTGGCACGTTTTCTGTATTTTTTCAATTGCGAGACGTCGCCCCAGTTTCTGCAAGCGTTTACCAGGCCATCCAGACGTTGAAGTTCTTCTCCAAATTGTACTATTCTTGACTAATTATAAAAACAGAAGGTTCAGTACTTATTTTTATATGGAATGTGATCAGTTGTACCTTCAATCCTCTTTGGAATTCAGCAGTTTTGATGTCAGCCATTTGACGATGCTCCTCAAACACTGAAGGCATACGTAGATACCTAGATAGAAAATAAATTCAACACAAGCAGTTCAGAATGAAAACTGTGGTGATGTGTAGGCAAATTTTTGCTGTGGAGCTCATGAAACACTATAGATCTCAATTTTAACACAATTTTATACATTTTAAAACCGTTTTGGTGACAATCAAGTAATTCTCCAAGTGCATGCCTAAAAATTGCTCATAAGTCTTTCCCCCTACCATTGAAATGCCTCAGTGTTCTGCTTAATTTCCTGCTGTGTCAAAGCATGATGATCCGATAGAAAGAGCAGTCTCCGAACAACCTGACGCAACCTGTCCTGCATAATTGCCAATGTGCTGCCTTCAGCCTGACGTACAAATTCAGTTGCTGCCATCAATTGGGCAGTATCTTCTGGTATTGCCAAAGCACTGGAGGACATTGATTGGTACTCTTCCGATAAACTGGAAGATAAAAACAATTAGTAAATAATAAGATTTCAGTTCCAAAGATGATAAAAATAAAAACAAGGCAATAAATGAAGAAATGGGAGATAATAATTAATTAACTGAGCTTATTAGATAGCAAGAATGATGAGGCAAAGAATTTAAAAAATGATGATGGTATAAATACTAAAAATTGTAAAGTCGACAAAGCAGAAAGTTTTAAAGTGAAGACCAAAGAAAACAGTTCCATGATTCTGCTTTCCAGCAGTCCATCTATTAAAATAATTATTATTTATATAGTGCAACTTCTTACGCTTTCATCATATTTTGATAATCCGTAATAATCCAATTGATCAAATCATCCTTATTTTTAACAGCAGCATTTGTTAAAGATTGCACCAAATCTTCTCTGTGCATTTCGTACAAACCAATGGTGACCACATGCTCCACCTTGAGCAAAAATCACATTGATTATATAATATATATTTATTAGGGTGGTCCTTAATATGGACATTTTCGAATTTCCTTGCTCCCAAGGGTTCAAATGATTCCACATTGATAAAAAACAATTCTCTGAAAGTTTTAGCTCTTAATATTGTCTTTTAGATAGAGCACAATTCAATCAAAGTTTTGTATGAAAATAACATGGAAAAAATTTTGAAAATAAAAAAAAAATAATTTAGGCATAACTTAATGACAAATTTTGAATAAAATTCAATCATTTGTTTCCTAAATTATATCTAAAAACATTTTGAAAATTTTTGAAAATTTTGTCATGCTATTTCCATATGAAGTTTGATTGAATTGCGCACTATCTAAAATTAACATCAAGAGCTGAAACTTTCAGAGAATTGCTTTTCATCAATTTGGAACCATTTGAGCTCTTGGGAGCAAGGAAATTCGAAAATGTCCATATTAAGGACCACCCTAATATTTATATATGTATAATTTTCTTACTTCGACTGGTATTTTATAGGAAGTGCTCTGAAATTTCTCAATCAACTCGCAATATTCTTCAAATGGATGTTCTGTTGCAAAAAACTCCTTCATCTGTTCCTGAACCTAAAAAAACAATATTTATCAGTTATAATTGATATATGATAATTCATGATTATATTTATAACTTACATTTCCATTAATCAAATCAATAAACTGATCAAAATCCTGTACAAGCAACTCTGGTCCAATTCTGTGATCCTCCAAAATCTCATGTACCTCCTGTCTGCATTTCTCGATCAAATCTTCGGGAATTATGGGCTAAAAAATAAACAAAAATATTAATCACCCACAAATAATTATTTTTAAATTTCTTGGTCTACTTTTAACATTTTCCTCTCCTCGTCCTGGTTAGAATTGACATCGACTCTTGGAATATCTTTGACAATTTTCACCATGAATTTGAAAGTGTTCAGGAAGACTGTTTGGATTTTTTTGAACGACGGTTCGAAATGCAGGCCGTCTTTTCGACGGACTATGTTGATCTGGATGCCTCTGTTTCTTTGCTAAAAATAATTAGATAAGTAGATAATTGTTTTGTGTATTTGGAAATTGTTTTTGGTGTTTTGTTACCCCGTAATCAGCCACATAATCAGCGTAATCCCTGGCGCTGTTCAGGCACAATTCTTGGAGTTGTCTTTCCATTACACAGGCGATGGTGTCGAAGAAACTTTCGTTGGAACGTTCGTCGTTTATTGGACGCAATCTTAAAAAAAAATAACAAAAACATTAAATGATAGATTAAAAATCAATATAAATCATTAAACATTATGATAGATTTGTTTTCTGGGTTATTTCTCCTACCTGTGTTTGGACGATCTGGACCTGGCCCTGGCCCTGCTGCGTTGCCTTCGCATCAGGAGATCTCTCAAAGAAGGCAACCAATCGTTCAGCATAAGATCTCTTGCTTTGGATAAATGAGATTTCACCTCCGATTCGAAATTGGCCAAAGATAAGGCACCACCGCATTTGGACAAAGAGTTGGTGTCCACCAGACGAAAGTCCCTGAAGAAGGGAAAAAACTTTGTGTGCACATTTATCCTTTCGCGAAATAAATTTAGAGTAGACCAATTTGTTGAAGGTCATTATGGTAATAGACAAACTTGTTGGTTTTTAATTTTGGACTAATTTGCCAAATGTACTATTTATATAGTTTACAAGTTAAAAAAAATGTAGTAAACAAATGCACTTGCAACATGAATACATCTTCTATAACTCGTTGTATTCTTCTAAATGGTCATTTATGAGTATACCGAGTCGCTGTATAGCATTATGATGTTAGACAATTCTGAAGATTATCTAATTTTGTACACATTTGCCAAATATGCAATTTATATTAAACCAACTATTTAAAATTTACAAGAGATTTAATAAGTACATCTGGCTATAGCCTAGCCATTGTAATTATAAATACCAGAATTTCCAAACCCAAATATTAATAACTTCTTCGATTTAATAAGTACATCAGGATAATTACCTGAATTTTCGAACCCAAATATTAATAACTTCCCCAACATAAGGATTGACCGTGTTCAAGCATTTCTGAATCTTCGTACGATTTTTATTAAAACTAACTTTCCATTCTATTGTAAATATTTTTAATTCGGCACGTTCCGGCGAATCGAATTGGACAATCTACAAGGGAAAAAAACTTAATATCAAAATCAATTATAATTTATTAAATTGTTCATCCATTTTTACCCTGTCTTTGCTTTTGATGAATCCTGCAGAACAAAATCCACTATAGCTTTTTTTACAGCCACCAAATAGTCTTCTTTGACTTCGTTTGTTAACAAATTTAAACAAGACGTCCATTTGAGAAGTTTTTGACTTATTAAGGAAAATACTCTGGAAATAAAAATATAGACACATAAATAATGATAATACATTTTAAAGTATAACAAGTTGCTGCGAGGAAAATTAATATTAAATAATAGTATAGAATTTTGTACAAAATTGTCCCTAGAATAAGTTTATTACCTGTATGTTTAGCACATGTAGCCTTTTTTTAAACGCAATTTTAAAGTACACCGAGTTGCTGTAGAGCATTATAGTATTAAAAAATTATAGATTATATAATTTTGCACAAATTTGTCAAATATTTCAATTATATCAAACAGTCCGTTTAAAAGTTACAAGAGATATGAGAAATAAAACCACTAAATTGCTTGCACTTGAATATTTTAAGAACAAACTTCCTTTTCTTCCATACAACGTTTCGACAAGTATAAAAATTATGATATATAATTAATGCATTAAATATTTTTTATACACCAACTCCAATATATCATCTAAAAGATTTTCCTGAAATCTAAAAAAAAATACTTTGAACGCGATTTTAAAGTACACCTAGTTGCTGTAGAGTAGCATAATATTAGACAATATTACAGAGCATTCAATTTTAAATAAATTTACTGAATATTTCATTTATATCAAACAAATAATTTAAAAGTTACAAGATATATAATAAACAAATGCGCTTCCAATAAATGTCTCGTCAATGCATGATTAAATGTAAGCAGAATT